GGAAGGACAGACGCCTAGGGCTCTGGATTTGATATACGTTAACGACGCCGACTTTTTTTCTAATTTAGATTATTCGCCACCTTTTGGCAAGTCTGACCACTGTTCACTTTTATCTTCTCTCCAGTTCAATATAATTAGTCGTTCTACAACCGATAAGTTTAAAACCATCAAAATTGTAACCACGATGCTCTTAACCAAGCCCTGTCTGAAGTCAACTGGCCTGCTTTGCTTAACAACCATAGCACCCAAGATATGTGGGACACTTTCACTCAACGAGTTCTAAGCGAAACGGCTGACAATACTGTTGAAAAGAAGGTATACTGTGACCCCTCAAAGCCCTGGATCAACTGTAACATATCGAGGATGCTTCGTCACAAGAGATCTTTGTGGCAACGGTTTGGGAGGAGTGGCCATTCACAAGATTACGTGTCTCATCGATCCTTTTCTAACCTCCTATCTAGAACGTTACATAATGCCAAACATGCTTATGAACGAAAACTCGATACCTCCAAAAATAAGAAGAAGCTGTTTCGGTATCTAAGAACAAACCTGAATTCCAAAGTTTCATCACCTCAGATCCGCGACGCTGACGGTCATCTCCACATGGATGCCACCGAATCTACCAACTTACTGGCAGAGTCCTTTAGTAATGACTTCGTCGATGAGCCTAATGGAGACCTTCTACCGACCACTATCTGCCATAGGTGTCCCAACAGCCTTTGCGAAGTTGAGTTCCTGCCTGAAGATGTATTAATGCACCTGCGAAATCTGAAGACCTCTTCCTCCCCTGGTAAAGATGGGATGACGGCTGATGTACTTAAAAACTGCGCTTCAGCACTGGCCCTACCATTAAGCTTGATATTCACATCGTCTTTTAGATCTCATACCCTACCCTCATGCTGGCTTACTGCTTCTGTTACCCCTGTATTCAAAAAGGGCGACAAATCCTCCGCTAAAAATTATCGACCAATAAGTCTCGTTCCTATCGCCGCCAAAATAGCTGTAAGAATCATATTAGATAAGCTCCTGTGATTTGCTTTCGAAAATGACCTTATCCCTAAGAATCAGCATGGATTTCTCCCTGGTCGATCAATAATGACCAACCTTCTCCACTCTCTCAACGATTGGACTCAGTATCTGGACACAAAGACTCCTGTTGATATAATCTACTTAGATTTTTCTAGGGCTTTCGATCGCGTACCACATAGAAGGCTTCTGTTTAAGTTCGAATGTATGGGAATAAGAGGCGAGTTGTTACTGCGGATTAAGGCTTTTCTCACCGGAAGGTCTTTCTCTGTGCGCGTCAGTGATAGCCAGTCTCACCTTCATCATGTAGCAAGTGGAGTTCCTCAAGGCTCTGTCTTGGGGCCAGTTCTGTTCCTTCTGTATACAAGTGACCTGCCCGCATTGATTTCCTCGACATGTTCAGCTTATGCCGACGACACCAAGATTTACAATACTGTCGTAAATTCTGCTATGCTTCAACGAGATCTTGATATTGTTTGTCAATGGTCAGTCAGTTGGCTTTTACCCTTAAATCTAACTAAGTGTTGTGTCCTTCACCTCGGGAAGACAAATCCGCGATTTACATACAAAATCTCTGACCACAACATCGAAGCAGTTTCCAGCCACACTGATCTGGGCGTTGTAGTCAACGATCGTCTTTCCTGGACAGAGCATATTCACCACGTTACATCAAAAGCCAAGAAACTTCTATACCTGCTGGAGAGGTCTTTCAAAGGATCCGATGTCAGCACTTGCGCCTACATTTACAAGGCACTCGTGAGGCCAATTCTTGAATTCGCTGGCCCGGTATGGGACACTGTGCTTCTGCGCGATAGAAATCTCGTCGAATCAGTACAGCGTCGGGCTACTCGTATCCCTTTTGGATCACGAAGACCAAGCTATGAAGATCGCCTTGAATTATTCAACCTGACCTCATTCTCTGAGCGAAGACTTCGTGGCGATCTTATAGTTACGTTCAGGATACTTCATGGTTTGATGGGCACCAGCCTCATGCATCTATACCGTCTGTCGCGCAGCAATCTACGCGGACACAGCTTCAAACTGCATAAGGAGCCATTTAAAACAACAGTCCGACAGTGGTTTCTTCCCAACCGCATATTCAACACCTGGAATAGTTTACCTGAAAGTGTGGTTGGTGCTACTTCAGTTAATAGCTTCAAAGTGCAGTATGATAGCTGGAGGAGTGTACAAACTTTATGGCTATGAACTGTCTTTTTTTATTTTTTTCTATTTGATGTATTTGTGTTACGTGTCCGTACACTATATTTACTGCATGAGCTTATAGTACTGTATACTCTGCTCATCTCAATTATCATAATAATAATAATAATGTTGGCCAGAAAAAATTTGTGATTACGCCAGAAACCGTCAAAAAAGTGCGTGAGTTTATCAAAAAGATTTAAAATCTTCATTGCGATACATAGAAATGGAATTAGATATCTCATTTGGAGCAAGAATTTGGGCATGAGAAAGGTGTGTTCACGGTTTGTTTCGCACAAGCTCACCTATGGCCAAAAATTGCTCCGAATTCAACATTCGAGAGACATCATTAAAGATGCCAAAAAAGTCAAAAACTTTCCGTACAACATTGTGACGTGGTGTTTTCAATACGATCCCGAAAAAATCAACATTCTAAAATCTTTTGATACGTGCACATCGCTGTATTAACTCTGAAGAAGACTATTTCGGATAAAATAAATTCGATGTAGAATGTATGTATTTCCGCTTCTTAGCGACTCAGTATTGCATTGAAATCTTTTGGACACTAATGTTATAATATTTTATTAATGACTTACTCGTTTTATCCCAGAAATTTCCTAGTAAACCATCGTTGGTCCCTCGTAAGCTGGTTTCTTTTATCTCCAACTTTCTTTTGGGAAATAACACATCTCTGAACGCCTTTGTCAGGTATTTCGGAATGTTTTGTTTTCCTAGTTTGATTTGAAAGTCGGAGTTTTGCATTCGTTGCACGCATTTTGGTTTCAATATAGTTTTGCTATCGATCCTGTGGAGTGTCGAATTTTGGTACGCCCTCCTACTTTTGACATTGATTGACAGTCTACTGACTGACTGACAGAAGACCGGCATGGATATTATGTAAAAAACCTATAAAAGGTCAAAAAAACCTATAAGATGTCATCTTGCAAACTAGGTAGTTTTTAGGGCGCAAACAGTCATTCCACGTTTGCTCACTAGGATCGTTGTGAATGTCCATCTAAGGAGGAATCACTCAACTAAACTACACGCATTATTGGTTGCATATGTTTTGTGAGGCTGTGCCCGACGGGTTATTTTTATGTTGTGCTTTCTGAAGCGAGGTTATGTTCAAAGTTATAAATTACGAAAAACAGAGGAGAATTAGGGGAAATCATCACCGCGCCCACGTTGTGTGTAATTACTGTTAGCATGTATATGGCTTGTAATTCGACAGTGTACAGTGAATATTATTATTTCTTATCTCTCTCATGTCTGAAATTCAGCGATTTTGTATATGTAATTTCCAGAATGGATAAGAAAAAGTGGGTGCGCAACTAGTTTCTTGCTTTGAATCTCAATTAAGTGTATTTGAGACAACAACCCAATGTAATTATCAACAACACATATAACTTACAGCTTAGACCTCCAGTAATGCCATCTCAGAAACAGATTTTACATCACATCAGAACCAACGATTGATAACAACCCTCATGGAGTTTAGACAACACGTACAACTAAGTGCTAAGTTAATATCTTGTAGAAACACCTACATAATGTCAAAAAAAATCGGCGTAATGTCACCTTTCAAGATACGTGATACCCGGCACGGGTATCATGAAAAAAACCTATAAAAGGTCGAATAAACCTATAAGATGTCAACTTGCAGATTAGGTAGTTTTTAGGGCGCAAACAGTCATTCCACGTTTGCGCACTAGGATCGTTGTGAGCGTCCATCTATGGAGGAATCACTCAACTAAACTACGCATTATTGGTTGCATAGTTTTGTGAGGCTGAGTGATCCGCGTCAGTAGTTTTTATCTCTGAGAAGAAAGTTGGCTGAATAGCAAGATCGCATCTGGATGATTATGTGTAATAATAATAATAATAATAGTAGTAAAGATTCAGCGGTGATATCCATATGGAGTTTGTGCTGCATAAGTGCGCGCAGGCTATATTCAGGAAAGGAAAGCTGCAAAGGATGAACCACATGGAAGAGACACAATTCTATCAAATTGAAGATGCTGATACTTATAAATATTTAGGTATTGACGAAGGAGAACGGATGAATCATAACCTAATAAAACAAAAGTTCAAGAAGGAATACGTTAGAAGACTCAGGCTGCTAGTCAATAGTCAATAGTTATAGTTTTGGCGTAATCGATTGGCAATTGGAAGAAATAAAAGCAATCGACCGAAAAATGCGTAAACTGCTAACATTATATGGCATGCTACATCCTCGCGCCGACACCGACATGCTTTACGTTTCCAGGAAAGGGGGAGACAGGGGACTACAGCAAGTGGAGGCAGCCTACAAGTCGGCAAAACTCAGTATAAGCGACTACTGTGAAAACAGCCCAGACAGAATGATGATGATTTCCCGAAATTACGATCTCTCTCTGCCAGTAACTAAGTCCATTATACAAACTGCAACAAAATTCCGCCGCCAATTATCTATACGGGAATCCTTAGGGCCAGACTTGCAGAAAAGAAAGGTGACCTACAAAATATGTATCCAGTCGGCATTGAGGGAGAAATGGCAAGGGAAAGCCCTGCATGGACAATATGTTACCCGAAGACTTCAAAACCATAACCTCAGCAAAGAAGACACAGTGAGATGGCTCACAAGAGCAAACGTAAAGGGTGAAACAGAAAGTCTCATAACACCGGCACAAGATCAAGCCATAAATACCAACTACCATTCAAACCGGATACTGGGAATAAACAACGATCCCAAATGTAGGATATGCAAAGAAAACGATGAGATCATATCTCACGTAATGTCTTCATGCCCTATCCTCGCTAAGCGCGAATACGTTACACGACACGACAGAGTTGCCAAGATCTTGCACCACTCAATCTGCACAGATTTCGATATTGACGTTAAACAGCGTTGGTATGAGCATGAACCTCAGCAGGTTGTAACTGCAACTAACGTCACCATTCCTTGGAATCAGCCTATAATAACAGACCGAACAATTGCTGCCAACAAACCGGACATCGTTATCAAATACCATAAAAGTAAGCTATGCGTGAAAGACAGAGAGGCTGAAAAGGCTCTAAAGTACCTGGATTTGTCTATTGAGATAAACAGAATGCGGCAAATTCGTACGCACATAGTACGAATTATAATAGGTTCCACAGGTGCCGTGTCTAAGAATTTTGACGCACATGTAAAGGCAATCTCAACAGAATTTTTACAGAAATTTCATGCTGAATATCTCAATAGTCTGGCACATTAGTAAAAGTGTCCATTTTCCGGTTCGAACAGTTTTATGTCAATACACTGTCATTAGGCCGATTTGAATCTAGCCTTTGACAATTCCACTTTATTCTAAGACTATCCAGTAAACGCAACCTATTCTGGAGATTATTACTTTAATCTTACCGTTACCTTCGGCTTCGTATTCTTATTGCTTTGCAGTTAGACAAGATAAATGTTCAAACATGTAGCCGGGTTTATGCTACAATGCCCACTGTTGTGAGTTAGTTCTTCATGTTTGATCATTTGCCCATGGGGAAAACTGTGCGCATATCCTACTTTTAACTTCAATTGTGTAAAATCATCAAAGAGCCGTAGTACAAAGGAAACCTCATAACTATGACACAAGCGTTTATTCCACCCTCAACAAGCAAAAAATGCTCTGTCCGGGTTATTTAATTTTGCAGACTGAACTCAAATCCCCTTCGGCGCTCTTCCATTCCATTTTAGCGTCGTGTACTATCCTCCGCCTTGTCTGTACAAGTTTTTCCTCCGAAAAAGAAAATACAAGGGAACTCTTGGACGGCACCGGCAGCGCAGAGAATTGCTGAATTCACAAATAAAATTCAGTTACTGCTCAGCCAATAAAAGTAACACCCAGAGCTGGAAATAATTAACGTTTGCTGACATCGTCGTTGCTACAGAGAAAAACGGATTTCACGATGGACGGTTAATAGGTTTCATCAAGACTCTGCCATAATAAGACCCTACTCAGCTCCTGACAAGGAGGACTTTCATCCTCATGGGTCAAGGGAGATCTTTGTTGGTGAAGAACTGCTATTTTATTCCCCACGCACAAGCCAGGAAGGTACCAACTTTTTACGCAAGTTTTTCTTTTGATGATATCTGTGTTAACAATAAGAATGGAAATTAAATTAGTTACAGGAGAACAAACATAACAATAATGTGGGTAATTTACTAACAGCTAAAACAAACTATGTTGGTATCAGATACCAGTCATCCCAGCACTATTTTTATCAATCTAGAATATTGATCAGTATCGAATTGAGATAAGAATATCATTATATTTTTTTTGCACATGACTTTATTAAGTTGAAAGCTGACAGAAACCACATAACTAATATTTCGAGTTTGCGTAAGTGCCTTTTTAAAAAGTATTTTATTTCCGAAATTACAAGTAGTGATTGGCGTGAAGGCTAGATCACGAAATGTAAATCACAATGTTCGTTTTAATGATAAAACAAAGGAAAAAGCATATTACATTCTCGCAGCTGCAGGGCGCTGCGTAAAGGTGCTGAGTTGCAACTTTAATTTTCTACAACTTGTATGGATTTCAAAACCTAACTCTTTATCGACAAATAAAACACTGCTTTATATGTATCTTATATTTCATAGATACTTGTCATTAAAAGAACCTGTCTGTATTTTTGTACGCAACGTGATAAAAATTGCTTTTGTTCCTCATCAGCAGTGATTAAGCCATGGAAGTCTCTCATTAACTGGACTGCTTATACTGCCCTATCATTAATTGCTCTCAGTGTTTGCTCCTCATCTTTATCGTGTTGAAAAGAATCATTATGTGGCCATGAAGTTGGACACTCGTCGAGGAAACTGTCATCAATTTTGAGTCCACTGAACAAGGACTTGCTCTTGATTAAAACAAAGTCATCGATTATTTTATCTGAAATGGAAAAACGAAGAATAGCTACCATCTAAACATAGTAGTTATGTCCATCCGACCACAGACAGTCAACCATGGACAGATGTTTTGTACTTTTTGGTATTTCATCAGCATCGTCTAGGCTTGGCCTCAGGTCAGGACAACGAACGAAAGTATAGCAACTAACCTCTATATATATATACTAAGTGACATATAAATCCGAACACCCAGTTTAAATGGTTTTATTTTAATAAAAGTTGGTGAATGTATTTATCTTACTGTAAATAACAAGTGAAAAAATTTTCAGCCTTATCAGTTGGACATTCCGGTTTTTATACTGCTTTTTTTTAATTCACTAACGCTCTAAAAATGAATATTTCAGCCGCAGTAAAGAATCAACGTTGGCGGATTTTGGTTCTTGACATCCTTTACGATCGGTTACGATGCCTAGAGTACGGAGACCTGTAAACAAACACCATATCAGCAACTTGGTGATTTGAAAATTTATTGGGTGGACGATTTGGCATGTTAGAAACTGAGGTACGACTAATAAAGTGTTCAGTGACAAATCACTTCCAACTCAAATATACTAAGTGATATATAAATCCGAACACCCAGTTTAAATGGTTTTATTTTAATAAAATTTTGTATAAGTACTTAATGAAGCATAATAAGTAAATGATAAAAATTTCAAAATCATTGCACTGCTTTAAAGCCCTTTGACCTTTAATAATGTGTGGATGAACCCTGATGTGCTACGCATTCTCCAACGCGCCTAGGCATGCTTCTGATCAGGTGGTCAATGTCCTCCTGTGGTATCTCATTCCAGGCAACCACCAACTCCTCTCGAAGTGATTCTAGAGTCTGAGGAGGACGTTGCAAATTGAGCAATCTCCTACCCATCATATCCCACACGTGCTCAATTGGGGATAAGTCGCGAGATCTTGGTGGCCATGGTAACAATGTGACATCATTATGTTAAAAGAAGTCTATTGTGAGTGTTGCAACATGTGGTCGGGCATTATCTTGTTGGAAAGTTGGATCTGCCAGGGTGTCAAGATAGGGTAAAAGATGGGGTTCGAGAACTTCGTGGATATAACGCTGCGCGTTCATGTTATTTCTGATGAAGATTAAAGGTGACCTGGAACCATAAGCTATAGCACCCCAAACCATAACTCCAACAGTGTGATGAACATGTCTTTCAACAAAAAACTGTGGATTCCTCCTTTCACCACGTCGCCTTCTAACCCTGGCACGACCATCGTGCATGCCTAAACAAAATCGAGACTCGTCACTAAAGACAATACTGTTCCATTCCTGATCCCAGAGTGACCGTTGTCTGCACCACTCAATGCGATTACGTCGGTGTTCTCGAGTTAAAGGGAGGACCCAGTGTGGCCGGTATGAAAACAAGCCAAAACTTCTCATTCGTCGGTAAACACTTCGCATGCCAATAGGTCTTCCGTGTTCTGCAAACCATTCATTTGCAATGGACCTGGTAGTGGAGAAACGGTCCCTTAAGGCCAATAATCTTAGCCGGCGATCTTCACCGTCTGTTGTTCTACGGCGGCGTCCTGTGCCCCTTGCTCTTTGCGTACGGCCTTCTCGAAGCCATGCCTGACAACACCTAACCACAGTGTCAACACTTCTTTGCACTCTAACTGCAATTGCCCGAAAAGAAAGTGCAGCTTCCCGAAGACCCACTATACGGCCCCTATCAAACTCACTAAGTTGACGAAATCGTACTGGTCTCCGTACTCTAGGCATCGTAACCGATCGTAAAGGATGTCAAGAACCAAAATCCGCCAACGTTGATTCTTTACTGCGGCTGAAATATTCATTTTTAGAGCGTTAGTGAATTAAAAAAAAGCAGTATAAAAACCGGCATGTCCAACTGATAAGGCTGAAAATTTTTTCACTTGTTATTTACAGTAAGATAAATACGTTCACCAACTTTTATTAAAATAAAACCATTTAAACTGGGTGTTCGGATTTATATGTCACTTAGTATACATATATATGTATATATATATATAGTTAAATGAGTGTTTGGGGATATCGACAAGTTAAGCAAAGTGTACCCTTCTGACTTACAAATACCCAAGCTAACGACAGGCTATGCTGTCCTCTTCAGGAGCTAAAAATAAAATTGAAAATAGTAAATAGCAAACCATGCTCAATTGATTATCATTTAATTACTTACTTCGTCAATGAGATTGGTGCTAGTGTTAGATGTATGAAATTGTGTTTGGGAACACATGGCTGGATGACAAAAAAATGGATTTACGCGGATCCTTTTTCAGCAACAGTGGAGAACATGATTGTAGGATACGAATGAGATATAATAATAGCAATTTAACGACAAACGTGAAAACTTCTCATCTTAGAAGATTCCGAAGTACCGCCCCGTACCATTTCATTTTTACTACATGGGCGTAAACAATTCGATGGGCAACAATGTCAGGGTAATATTAAAGTCACTTACTCGGTGACGAGATGACAACGAGTTATCCTCCTTTGGCAAGCAATAAGGGCGCTATGATCGGATTGTCGAGGCCAACACCTATTTTTAGAAAAAGACTTATGAGTATCTCCCGTATTCAACTGACTCATGACATCACAGACTGATCATTAAGTCGTCACACAGATTGACTAGGAGTCGACACATACTCTTTGGTCGCTAGGTGTATGGTCAGACGTGCAGAGTTTAACGATTATTACAAAAAGACAGTCCAGGAACCAGATATCACGTTGGCCAACGGCCGTTGTGTCAATACCCCAAATCTCCGACGTTACCCCTGAATCAGAGATAACCGAGCAATACGACTATCATTAAAATAACAATCCCTTCACACATTAGATACATTCAGACTCCAGTGATTGCCAAGAGAAGATAGTTAAGCGGTCATTCAGACCTAGGACGCCACTTTGGCCAAAGGCCACCGTGTCAACATCCCAAGCGCTCCGACGATTCCCCTGGTAGAGGAAACCGAGCAGTAATTAACATATAACTATCTCAACCCAGCAAACGGGCTCCGAAAGTCCCATAACAACCCCCAGAACCTGGAGGCATCCCACCTGCGGATATTCAACAAGTTGTAAGCCATAAGTTAAATTATGAAGGTAAAAAGTATAGCA